AAAAAAACAAATACACTTAATGAACCAAGATATGAATAATTCAAACTCAAACCTCCATCAAATATAAACAAACACAAACCTATCCCATTCAGGCCAGATTGCAACAAATGATACAAAACCCCAATTGGTTTCCTCTATGTGCCTCTTTGTCTAAAGTAGTGGTCCAATTCAATGGGACCATTGTCCAAATTAAGCAGTTGAAGAAGATGTCGATATTGTTCTCAGTTCATGTCCGATTTTTGGTGCTAACAAACATATAAAGATATGAACATAATGCCATGTCATATATATGATTCACGGACTCATTATACAAGGGCAATTATACCTACTATGATATATCATTTTGTAATAATAGAGATGAGAAAATAATAAGGTTGATACTCTGCTAAAAAAACATGAATTATATTAAGATCAAGTTGATGGCCATGAGACCATTAATTTGTCCATATATAGATAATAGCCTCAGAAACCAATTGAAATATATTGTATGATAATATTAGGTTAAGATGATATTATACATGATTCGCTTATGTATTCTGATACATAAATCTGATTTCAGATTTTCAGGTTATTATTCTTCCGTAATGTGATCTACATGATACCATTTTGATTCACAAATCATATCTTTCTACATTTTATTTTTGCTTTTTGTTATTTTTCCCAACTTACTTCATTTGTACTCCGTCAAGACTCTAATTTTTACGTACCTAAAAAGAAAGTTGTCACACTCATGTAGATCAAACTTGTCACCTCAACACACACGCTCTTTTGAATTACGATAGTATTCGAATCAGCTTGTGCAGACTCCGAATATCATTTCATCTTGAGGCATATTAACAATATCCAAGTTTAGTAGAGATTGCCCATCATCGTTGGCACCGAGGATTGTATTTTTCATTTCTCATTTTAAAGGCATGAATAAGGTCTGCGTACTGTCTACCTTCCTCACACCCCACTTGTGAAAACGAATGAGAAAAAGGCAAGCGAGAAAGAAGACACAATTTTACTAATCTAAGCACTTTTTATGCGTTTGGAAAAGCCCCCAAAAAATTTTATTTGATATGTGCAAGTATATATTTAATCACTTGGAAAGTCGGATACATTGTGAAGAGAATCAACTAGTTAACTAGCAAATATAGTTCCATTGATGTGGAGGTCAGCTCCAATAGGAAACGTACAGTTAAAAGTCAGACTTGTGACCAATTTGTTAACTTAGAAACCAAAAGTTCACCCTTAGCTTGATCGTAATGCCATTTAATTAGAGCTATATGGAGGTCATCTTCAACCACAAAATGGTTGCATAAACTATAATTTGTCCAAGAATGTAGTATCATCAAGGACATAATTATATGTTCGTTATGTATTTATAACCAAACATGTATTATAAGGGGCGGGAAGTAGAGTTTGGACCAGGGGATCGACCGAACCAGTAGTTGTGGTCTAAACCCTGCATTTATCTTAAGAAATTCATTTAATATGTACAAATTATTAATTTAGAACCCAATAACTTAAAAGAGCTAAAATTATAAACCTACACTTTAAATTCTAGATCTGCCTCCAAAATATGAGGTCCTTAAAAATATTTTTCTTCTGAGACAAAATCATACTATATTGACCTTATGTATATACATCTACAAAAACTTCGCCAGTTAAAAAACAAAAAACTTTAGCTCTAGAGCTGAACTTCAGACCTGACTACTAGAATGTTGAAGTTTTACGTGATTGCCTTTGCTACTTCAGCCTCGTATGCTGAAGTTATGCGAAAAAGCGGGTATGCTTGCAATTTTTTTGCAAAGCGGGCACACGTTAAAACGTGACACAAAAGACAGGTATAGATGCAAATGCCCCCTTTTGAAAAGGTTAACAACTATCTTATTTAATAGAAAAGCTTCAACAAAAAGTATGAAGTAACAAATAATTCTCAATCTTGAAAAAAAAAAAAACTTTATTCTCAATGAATTATTTCATGCTGCAGTAAAGGTATTGTCTGCTGACTCTGCTTAAACACAAAATAAGTGATCAGGGTTTAATAACAGGAGGCTGCCACACTTTTATCAAACAAGATGGAACAGTTCAACACACTCTTAATGTTTGCTATTACCAGAACATAACTTCTGGAGTGGGCGGCGGCTGGAGAGACTTGATACCTATAAAAGAGGTATCAAGAAGTATGATAGCCGAGAGATACCACGAACAGAACTCTCTATCTCAGGCAGATGAGTAAAGATTGCAATTTTATAAGCGTCTATTGTAGAGTAACGATATAGAAAGTGCCCATGTTGAAATGCGACATTGCTAAGAGAGGATGAAAGGTGGGGAACACTAATTGCACCTATGAGAGCCATGGGAAACGAATTTTATACCGTGTAAAGTGGATCTTCTGTAATTCTGCTGATCTTATATGACTGTACAAGAATCTACATAAATGTGGGACAGGATAGTTCCAAGTTTCTTCAGAGTGCTTTCTGGTCTAGTCTTTCATTCCAATTCAGGCAACGGATCAAGCTACCAAACCAATCACCTGTTTGGTCACATTTATTGACTGTAGGAAGTGGATGCTGACTCATACATATCCGAATAGAATCTCCTCTAGACAGTTGTTGCCGTCTCTTCCCATCAAAGGAGACCCAAGCATTGTTGCGTGCATCCTCTGGAATCTGTTTGCAAATAACTTAACTTTCTAACTGAATGGTACGAAATGAATCCACAAAAGAGCAAAACGTTTAGAAAGACGCAGTTGTGCCTTGGCTGACTGCTAGACACATGCCATGAAATCATGAGAGATTTCATGATTTGACAACAAGAAATGGATATGCATTCATCAAGGTGCCAATAGTCGAACAATAATGGTGTAATATCAAGAAATTGGATACGTGCAGTCATCAAGGTGCCAATCATAAAACACGATAGTTGAAATTAAGGCTTTTGCACCGACATTACTCTTTTAGGGAAAAACTTAAAGCATCCTAAGAAACCTAAATTCATTGAGGAATCATGTCTACTTTTAAGAATACTGACAAGAACATATACTAAGATGACCTATCAAAATCAGGCACAACTTCAAATTTAATTGTTTTAGTAACTTCATGACGAGTAGAAGAGAAGTCCAAAATCAGAAGTAGCAGAATAAAAGGACTCACATTCTACAAATAGAAAACATCGTTGTTTAATGAGGAAAGATAAGAACTTATAAAGAAGCTGCCTATATGTTCGAGCAGTTAAGGAGAAGACTTGAAATCTGTTGGGATTTTCCTGTGCAGGTTCCAATCCTGTTGTCGACGAACATTTTGTGCTACTGAGGTGTTATGTATAGGAGGATACATATCAAAGTGAAAGTAAGTTCTATTGAACAGTTATTAGACCAGCAATGTTATATTTATGTGAATATTGGGCTGCTAAGTCCAACACATCCACAAGATGAGTGTCTCAAAGATCCGAAACCTAAGATGGATGTGCATTCAAATAAGATTAGACAAGATTAAAAATAACTACATTCGCCGGATGAAACAAGTAGCATGAGGATAAAATCAGAGAATGTCACTTTACATGGTTTGGTCATGTCTTGTGTTGACCTCCACATGCACTCGTATGTACACTGTGGGTGTTAAACCATGGAGAGTGAAGGTGTTAAAAAGAGACGAGGTAGACCTAAAATCACATGGAAGTAAGTTGCATTGATTCCAAGAGATTGTAAGTTTTTTGAGACAACTTCTTTCATGTGTTTTAGGCCTATCTCGTCTCCTTTTATCACCTTCACTTACCATTCACTGGAATATCACGTTATTACGTTTACTTTAGGCCTATGTTTTCTAGGAGTTTTCTAGTCTTACTACAGATTCTTATGCTAGTAGGAAATATCGAGAACTTCTAGTACTTCTCATTTTTATTTTTATTTTGTACAATATTGGCCTGAGATGAATTTAAATGGAGAACATGGTCAGTGAGGATTCATATAGCGACCCCAACTTGTTTGGAATTGAGGTGGTATTGTTGTTATCATAAAGAAAGAAAGGTACTAAATAAAGGGGTGTCATAGACTCAAGACGATAACAACAAAGAGAACATGGACTATGCCATGTATTGTCCTCTTTTTTTCTCTTTCATTTTCGTTTTCTTTTTGATGAAGATTTTTAAAAAAACACAAGACTAAATAATCCCACATTTTATCATGGGATTATTNCATGGACTATGCCATGTATTGTCCTCTTTTTTTCTCTTTCATTTTCGTTTTCTTTTTTATGAAGATTTTTAAAAAAACACAGGACTAAATAATTTCACATTTTATTATGGGATTATTTTCTTTATCCATGATACCAAACGACCCCTAAAGCACTCCCTTCCCTGTATAATTGTATGTATAAATCCACAATCGCCTCATGCACTACTTCTCCTTGTACATTATTATTCCTTAACTTCTATTGCCTCTATAAGTTTCTCTTCTTATTCACTATAGCTTGTCAATGGAAGAATTTTGAATAACAATTCCCCTCTCTCAACCGAATACCCTAGATTTCTTCTTCAACTAGATTTTGTATCATAGCCATCATAGCTAATTCTCGTTTCACTTTCATCTTCCTCATTTTTTCACCCTCATCTGGCTCACCTCTCCCTCTCTCGTCTCTATATCTCCCAACATGTTCATTAACATCCAACATTAATGATATTGGATCCACAAGATGAGGATTTACCAAAGAGACGAGGAACATGCATTGGATCTACAAGATGAGAATTTACCACCAAAGTTTTATGATGATCCATTGGAGTATCCAACAATGTGTGTCATTGACCTTCCTCCTTTCATAGAAGCTCAACACGATATTGACTTGATTGTTGACTCTATCATTCCAAATAAGTCAGCATAATGCGTTAATCCTAAAGTCCATAAAAATATGCATAACAAGAGGAAGAATTACTTATAAAGGAGTGGAGTAATAAGGGAAAGTTTAAGTCCTTGTGTTGTACCTGCCTTGCTCGTTCCTAAGAAATATGGATTTTGGCGCATGTGTGTTGATAGTCGTGCTATTAACAAGATCACCATCAAGTATAGATTTCTTATTCCTAGGTTTGATGATCTTTTTGACCAATTACATGAGGGCAAGATATTTTCTAAAATTGATTTGAAAAGTGGCTATCCCCAAATTCGAATGAAGAAGGGAGATGAATGGAAGACTGCATTCAAGACAGGCAAGGGATTGTACGAATGGCTTGTTATGTCATTTGGGCTCTCTAACGCTCCTAGCACATTTATGAGACTCATGACCCAAATCTGTCAGCCATATATAGGAAAATTTGTCGTTGTTTATTTTGATGATGTACTTATTTATAGCAAGGATGATCAACAACATTTGAAGCACTTGAGAAAGATTTTTGAAGTTTTAAGAGAGCAAACCCTTTATGCCAACTTGAAGAAGTGCAAGTTCTTTTCTGAGCAAGTCTCTTTCTCGGTTATATTGTCTCTATTGAGGAAATTCAGGTCGACTCGGAAAAGATTGAAGCTATTGCTAGCTGGCCTATTCCAAAAAGCTTAATAGAGATTCGCACCTTCCATGGTATGGTGTCTTTTATCGGCGTTTTATAAAGAATTTTAGCTCTCTTGTTGCTCATATTACCGAGTGTTTGAAGGGAAACTCATTTAAATGGACGGATGCTGCCCAAAAGAGTTTTGAATTGATTAAGACAAAGATGACTCAAGCACATGCGCTTGCTTTGCCCAACTTTGATGTAATCGTTGAAGTTGAATGTGATGCTTCCGTAGTTGGGATGAGAGTTGTTCTTAGTCAAGAAGGTAGACCCATTGCTTATTTTAGTGAGAAGCTGAATGATGCAAAGTTCCAAGTATTCTACTTATGACAAAGAGTTCTACACCATTATCAGAGCTTTTTCTCATTGGAGTCATTATCTTTTACCTCGAGAATTTGTGCTTTATTCTGATCATGAGGTCTTGAAGTATGTGAATAGCCAACATAAACTCAACATTAGGCATGCCAAGTGGGTAGAATTTTTGCAAGCCTTTCACTTTGCTATTAAACACAAGGCTAGGATAGTCAATCAAGTAGCTAATGCATTAAGTCGCAAGCCTTGATTTGTTTCTGTCATGCAAAACACTATTGTGGGCTTTGAACACAAAGGAATTATATGCAACAGATCCAGACTTTGGAGCTATTTGGGGTCAATGCTGGGAGGGTCCTCAGCGTATGTTTGTGCTTAGGGATGGCTAACTTTATCATGGTTAGCAGCTTTGTGTTCCACAAGGAAGTTAGCGTGAATTTATAATCCGTGAGTCCCATGAGGGAGGGTTAGCTGGCTACTTTGGGCAAACAAACACTCTACGCCTAGTTCATGAAAACTTCTATTGGCCTAAGATGGTTCGGGATGTCAATAAGCTGGTTGCAAGATGTGAAACTTGTATAAAGGCAAAAGTGCACAAAGGCAATTCGGGTCTGTACACTACTTTGCCAATTCCTACTCAACTTTAGGAAGACATTAGCATGGACTTTTTGTTGGGCCTTCCAAGGAATCAAAGAGGCAAGGATTCCATCTTCGTGGTTGTCGATCGAATTTCAAAGATGGCTCACTTTATTCCTTGCGATAAGAATTGCTGATCTTTTTTTTTTTAATCATATTGTGAAATTGCATGGAATTCCAAGAACTATTGTTTCAGATAGGGATTCAAGGTTCCTAGGGCATATTTGGAGGACTTTATGGGCTAAACTTGGTACTACGCTAACACCTAGCACTTCTCATCATGGGCAAACCGAAGTTGTCAATCGAAGTTTAGGTGCTTTGCTTCGTGGGTTAATAAAGAAGAATCTCAAAGAGTGGGAATCGTTACTTCCTACTGATGAGTTTGCCTTCAACAAGTCAACCAACCACACTACGGAAAAGAGTCCATTCGAAGTTGTCTATGGTAAGAATCCTCTTGAACCACTTGATCTTTCTCCTCTTCTAGCCACTCATTTTTTTAGCCGAGATGTTGCTGATCGAGTGAAGCAACTCAAGAAACTACATGAGAAAGTTCGGTCACATATCAAGAAGCAAAATGCTAGATATAAAGAAAAGGCTGATATACGTAGGAAACATGTGGTGTTTAAGGAAGGCGACCTGGTTTGGGTTCATTTAAGTAAGGAGAGATTTCCAAACCGCAAGTTTTTTACATTACAACAACAACAACAACAACCCAGTATAATCCCACAAGTGGGGTCTGGGGAGGGTAATATGTACGCAGACCTTACCCCTACCCCGAGGGGCAGAGAAGCTGTTTCCAGGAGATCCTCGGCTCAAGAAAGCAACAAGAGCCGATATATTAGTACTATCAATAGACTCATAATAAAATAACATAAAATAACAAAATATCAACAATATAAGAAATATAGGAAATACGAAAAAGATGGAAGGTATAATAATATCCAGCAGATAAAGCCCTGCATCAGTAGCTGACCAGTAGCATCCTAAGACTAACTCCTAACTGGCTAGTCTCACTCTAGTGCGCTGTAGAAATATTCACAACTTTCCCTTAACCTACAACCTTAATGCTCGACCTCCACAATTCCCTGTCAAGGGTCATGTCCTCAGTAATCCTAAGTCGCGTCATGTCCTGCCTGATCATCTCTCCCCAATACTTCTTAGGTCTCCCTCTATCTCTCCTCGTGCCCACCACAGCCAGTCGCTCACACCTCCTCACCGGTGCATCA